GATTTAAATTATTTAAATATCAATATGAGTGGAAAAATAAATTCCAAGCGAATACCTTATTATTATTTATTTTCTCTATTTTGAACTGAAATTTCATCATTAAAATTTTGTAATATAGTTTACTTCTGCATAGTTTTTTTTTCTCTCATTGTAAACTAGTTCTGTAAATTGAACTGTTATTTAAAATTTAAAAAAAAAGTAATTATTTTCCATGGTTGAGGTAATGCTTATTCTCTCTTAATAAATACTGCATTTCTCATATTTTAAATTACAAGTCTAATTAAGGTTATGCAGTTGTGTATAATGAAATTAGACAAGTGCTTATTTTTTTTTTCCTTAAAATGTGCTTGAAAAGTGCTTATAGGTGCTTATTTTTTTAACTAAAATGTGGCTATGAACCCTGAAAAATATTCTTGATATTTGTTTTTTGTATATAATTAGTTTCAGTTCACTTGCTAATGTTGCAAGTAAAGCACCCATAAGCTCAAGTCTTGGTAATAAGAGTTTCTTTAAAGAAGCTACTCTAAATTTTGAAACTACAAGATTGACTAAGATTTCGTTCTCAACCTTTAACTTAACATAAAGAACTGCTCCATGAGCCTTAGCACTAGCACCCGAAAATGTGTGAATTTCCAATTCTGCATCTTGATCAATAATAGAACCAAGTATGTATCAGGGAACCCTTAAATGTTTAAGTCGTGGAACTTCTTTATACCACCACATCAACTTTTCGCTTATATTAGGAGATAAAGCTTCATCCCAAGAAAGTTTTCTTTGCTAGATCTCCTGGAATAGGTATTTGAAGCGCATAATAAAAGGTGTGAGAAGACCCAACAGGTCGAAGATTCTTCCTGGAGCCATTATTAGAAACTGTTTGATGTTCCTTGCCTATTGGAGAAATTCTCGAAAACTATTCATTTCTATGGATAGGTAATCACCACATGAATCCCACAAAAGGCTGAGAACCCTGTGCAGTATATCCTTTAAATCTTCTGGATATAATTACATAAATTCCTCAGCATTCCACTCCATTTTTAACTTATGAGAATTTGAAATCTCGTTTCTCAAGGATATTCACCACTGTCATTATTTTCTCAGCAGTTTTAGAAATGTCAAAGGCAGATGAAAGAAATGTCATCACTACCAGTAACAAGATCATCTACATAATAAAGCTATCAAGTGTTTGTATTGTATCAGGAAAGTTCTCCCAGTACTTCTCTGTATGTTTTTAACGGTTGCCACTAATAAACAAAGACTTGCATTGACACAAAATATTATTCTTTTGAATTTATACACACATAAATTATTCATATTGTTAATGGAAAGAAATCTCACTGTGTCTTTTTCACATAAAAGAATTTGCAGGAAAGCTCTCTGTATATCTGCCAAGAAGTCAATCTTGTTCAAGCAAAAGAATGTCAATAAATGAAATATATTTGGGTTTAAATTAACTACTTGATACAAACAGTCATTTAAAGATATAATTGTCCTGTTTCAGGTGAACTTCCATCAAAAACAATCCTTACCTTGGCAGTTATGTTCTCTTATCTTACAACTGCATAGGGCAAGTAATATAAAGGTTTATTCACTTCATTAACTGAGCTCATCACTTTTCTCAATAATTCCCTCACTCAAATAATTATTCAAGATATCACAATATTCTAAATACAGGGAATTATCACATTTCATTCTCTTAACAAGATTTGAAAGTTGATATTTTGCGGCATCATAATTGTCTCTCCGAGTTCCGTTCATTTTCTTGTCCAAGGTACATGAACCTCATATCATCTGTCTTTAAAACACGCTGTTTCATTGAACATCTCTAGAGCCTTATCCTCCTCATTTCTCAATTCGGTATCTTTAATACCAAGGGATCCTAACTCTCAGAAACTTGTTAATTGATTATCTAAACCTTCAAAATTGTTGACTAATCCGCAATGGTAGCTCTCTTATTTACTTAAATTCATAGACCCACTCACTACCCAGCCAAACCCTGTCTCTTGTAGCACAGTCAGTTCATCCTGTAATTTGATTTGGTTTGAGTAGGAGATGAAACACATCAGCTTTCAGAAGAGTGTCGGTCTGTAAAAATTTGGGTCAGCATAACAAATTTTGTTCACATCTATTTGTTTCGAAAGAGTAAGCTCAGTAGTATTATCTACAATTAAAAATTCAACATTTCTCTTAAAATCATCATTTGAATTTTCCACTAATATTAATAGCTTACTTTTAACAGTTAAAATTGAGTTATTTAGGCCAGATATACATGCATTGCTTGTTGGTTTATTTGTAACATATCCACGATTTCTTTTCGAATCAGGCTGATTTGACTGCTTGAGTCAAGAATTGTCAAAATGTTTATTTTTTTCCTGTTTCCCATTCAAGCTTTAATTACAGCATTAGACAATATATTAAAATTGTGTTATTCAGGCCAAGATATACAGGCATTTATTGCTTGTTGGTTTATTTGTAACATATCCATGATTTCCTTTCGAATCAGGCTGACTTGACTGCTTGAGTCAAGAATTGCCAAAATGTTGTTTTTTTTTCCTGTTTTCCATTCAAGCTTTAATTACAGCATTAGTCAATATGTAAGTACTTTGACCTTGGAAAAGGAACATTTGCTCTAGTGCTGAGAAAGATTTACGTTTCACATTCCTAAGTTGTTCAGACAAATGATTGGTTTTCTGGAGTTGCATTTTTAGTTTCGAAACTAATCGCATTTGGATTTAATTCATCTGAAATGTTTAGTTCACTAGCATTATTCGGTGAGATGGATGTTTTTTGAGAATGTACACAAAGAGATGAATTGTTATTTCTTTTCTCAAATTGAATCAAGGTGTTATGTTTTTAACTGCACTTATCACGACAGTGTTTTAACTACATTTTAAAAATCAGTTGAAGTACAATCCTTGCCTTTTTAGAAATGCAACCCTTTCATTCACTGATACATGTTGAATGAAACATTTAATAGGACATTTATATATAATATGATTATCCAGACAGGAACTATACTTAGATGACTTTGCATGTTTACAATACTGACCTTTAGAATACTGCTTTTGGTTCATGTTCTTAGAAACTCTATACACTTCTAATGTTCTTACATGATTTTTTTTAAATTCATTTAAGTTGTTCAGTTTGGGAACATTATTTTTCTTACCAAATTCACTTTCAAACTATCATTTAGTTGACAGATTTGATTTTTGTAACAAAAGACTCAAATATTGTATCCAGAAACCCATCAGTTTTATGCTTTAAAATTTTAACTATATTGTACATCCGAAGGTAGTGTCAACTAAATTTAGTAAAGTACTAGCAGATTCACTGTGAATAAGATAGGTATGGCATAAATTACTTAATGTAGGCAGAAACCTATTCTCTATGATTTGAAAGTCTTTCCTCCAACAATGACCAAGCAAATTCATTATTTTGATCCCAAACTGGAATTAATTTTATGACTCGGAGTGCATCGCCTTTAAGGGCTGATAATATATATTGAAGCTTTTGTACTTTTGATAAATTATTATGCACAGCAGCTTTAAATAAATCATTAAAGTTATCCATTCATAAATATTGTCAGTAAATGTAGGTAAACTGGGGCCTTCTGTGTAGCTTTTCAGTTTTTTTAAGTTATGCCAAATGCTGATTGTTCAGCAAAAGGAAATTGGTGCATTACAGCTCAGTTGGTGGTGAAAGAGTTTCTGACTGCTACAGGACAGAAGATCTTTAAAAAAAAAAAAAAAAAAAAAGACTGTACCCAGACGTTTGGAAGGAGGAGCATTATTCACTTGTACATTTATTGTATGTGTTTCGTTGTTCAAGCAGCACCATACCGCCTGTCTGCAATAGGTGTTCTAAGCATCACAGTCAGACTAAACCAAACTGGGCTTATGTAACATTCTCAGATAAAAGGAACTTCAATTTGTCATTGGCTTGTAGATGCCAGCTGATCTGGTATGAGAATGGTAATGTGTAACGTCAAGAAAATGTCCATGAAGTGTCGAATATCCAAGATGCACTATCATGGTATGGGACAGAATCATTATCAATGACCACAGACCCTTATGTGCTTGTAGCTGAGAATGTCAGGCTAACAGTACACTGATACAGTTTTAGTAGCTTTTTTTTGTTTTTTTATTACCTTTTCACCTTTTGTTTTGTGGTGCTTTTGGTGGTAAGTTTGATATGTAGTGAAGCATATACACTATATATGCAACACTATCTAGAACGTTTCCTATATTTATTCCTTAGCAGCTTAAAAACTCTTCCAAGATTGGTGGATTGTCTTGATCACTCTTTTTTTTTTCAGAATGAGAATCATCTGAATCCAGGCTTAAAATTCTTGGTCAGAAAAATGTCCTAGGACATTGTATAATTTTGTCATCACTAAAATTATCATCATTAAACTTGTTCTTGCAGGAAAAATTCGGCAAACTATCTGCACACAATTCATCACATTTTATTCTATCCTGTTCCATTTTTAGGAATGTGCTGTTAAAAAAGTCAAGTTATAAAAAGCCATTGTGTCACTGGTAACAGTAGTCTGCCAATAATGCATAGAAAACGAATTTTGTCTCTCACCTTTTTGTAACAATATGCTCAAAACAAGTTTAGTCATTTCCTGCTTAAGATGTGTTAATATAACTATCAAATGAATTATATATGTTTATAATATATGAATGTATTGCTAACAACTGTAATGTTATATGTTTATAATATATGAATGTATTGCTAACAACTGTAATGTTGAATTAAAAATGTGTATTATATTTTATGTGTAAAGTTATACGTATATTTCTGTCTCTTCTCCCCTTTTTTTTAATGTACCTCAAGTATGAAATAAATTTATAAAATATTTAATAGGAATGCATTCCAAGCAGATTATTATTTGAAATCATTTTATGTCTAATGACATAAATGATTTAATACTTTTAAATTTATGATAAATTAAAATTTAATTTATGTGATTAAATTTTGGAAAACATTACTCCTTACAGCTTGGTGGTGGCTGTGAATTAGCAATGATGTGTGACATTATCTATGCTGGAGATGGAGCTAAGTTTGGCCAGCCAGAAATTTCAATTGGGACAATTCCTGGTAAGATAAAAATAAATTAATATAAACATTTAAATTTCTTCAAGCTAGGGGGACATGAATTATAGATAGTATTTTCAAAATGTATTATTATATAGTTCGAGTTACCAAAGTTTGTACAAATTTGTTGCAATTTTATACTAAGGAAGAAGACCCTTTTTTGTATTAGATAATTCATTATTGACGATGGGCTGAAAATAATGATGAACTAATTTTAATTAAATTCTTACACGATATCTTGTAAAAACAAAATATTGAATTCAAGTTAAAGGTTTTATTTTTAAGAAAAGCAGAAAGAAAATACAAATAATTATGCATTAACAAGAAAAAATTTTTAAATGAAGTAGTTATGTTAATAGAAATCAGTCTTCCCCCCCCAAAAAAAAAATTGCTTGTCTTCTAATTGTTAGGGAGCCTTGAAGTGCTAATAGACTCCACGTGCTTTCGTCATAAACTCATAATTCTTTTTACATCTCTGTAGTTTGTATGAATAAATTAAGACACATTTCATAATTGCAGTTTATTCTTAAATATGCGTACATAGTTTTCATTAACGTAGATATTTAAAAAATTTTATAAAGAAAATCGAAATTGTGTAAAATATTCTTTCTGTACCTTTTCTTGTATCATTTGATACATTCCAGCTTTTTTTATTTGTGTGATACCACAGTTCCAACCACTTAGATGACTGTTTATATGCTCACTAGCTTCTGAGTGAATAATATTGTTGAAACTGTTAGCATGGTTCGGATTTGAATCTTAGTGAATAGGTTATTTGCATGTATGGTTCCCTCTCCCATATGTAATATGAATACGAGTGGTTTTTCCCCCCTTTCTGTACCTTAAATAGATATCTCTTGCATATTTTGCTAAAAAACAACTAAACATTCTTTGTAAACAGTTTGATGTCATAAAGAAAATATATTTGTTATTTGAATTTTTATGGCATTATTGATACAACTTTAATTTATTTCTTTTGAAGTTATGGTTCAATAATAGAAATGCCTTTGTTTGTCTTTAGTTTCTGAATATCATAAATATTCTTTAAAAAATATTTTTGTGGCTAACTTAACATCAGCATCTGTATTTTTATATTTAGAAAACTAATTGAAACACTAACTAAAAAATTTGATATTAATCATAAACTGTGATTTTTACTAATTACTAAATGTTATTAACCAAATCATTTTATTTATATTATTTTTTGTTAATAATATATAATTTTTTTTTGTAAAAGTGTGTTTTGCCACATGAATTTTTATATTTATTTAATACTAACAGGTGCTGGTGGTACTCAGCGACTGACTCATGCCATTGGGAAGTCTAGAACAATGGAAATAGTACTCACAGGAAATCAGTTTACTGCTGCAGAAGCTGAGAAATGGGGTGATTATTTTTTAATACATTAGTATAGTTTTTATATATATTAATGCCATAATCGTGAATGACTACAGAAAAAAACAGGCTATTCGTATATATACTCAGTTAGCATTTGTACAGAGCCAAAAGAACACACCATTGTCACTGAAGAATTTGTATTTTGTTAAATGTATGCATACATTTTATTGCATTCTCAGGCTTTGTAAAAGTTAAACTTCCCTTTATTAAAATCACAAAGCTATAGACATGTTCCTCATAGTGATAGTAGCAATTATTTCTGCTAGCACAGGGATACAGGTCTAAAATTAAGCGAGTTCCCAGCTTTTCATTCTAAAACACACTAAATCTAGGTTTCTGACAAAAAAAAAAAAAAAAAAAAAAAAAAAAAAAAAAAGCTTTAAAAAACAGAGTGTACATATTGAGTTATCCAGAAAGGTCTGTGGTTTTCTGATGATAAATATAAATGAAACTGTGCAAAAACATAAGGAAATTTCATTGCACCGTATTTCAATTTTTTTCAGTTCACCAAAATTTCGTCACGTAAGCACCATTTTATTATGACTTTTTGCTATCTCTCCAGCTGGAAAATTAAGTAAATAAATAAACAATCATTAGGTTTATTCTTAAAGAAGTTGAGTTCTCCAAAGAAGTGAACTGCAGGCTATTCAGAGAATTTTAAAGTTATCTAAACAGACAAATTAATCAGGATGAAGATGATGCAAAACATCACAATATACTCAATAAATCTTTGACATTCATCAAAATGTGGAAGGGGGGGGGCAAGGTGTTGTCATCTTGATAATTTGTCAGTTCTGAATGCTTTGCTTTCAGCCATGTGGAAGAATTATTTTTCTGAATTAATTGTCTGATTTTATGGCAACAGTTCATAATATACAGTTCATTTGTAGATGTACCATACACAATTACTTTTTTGCAACACTTTCTTTCCTGCAGCCCTCTCAATGATCCTAAAGAAGATTCTTTTGGCATGATGTTTTTCATGCAACATTATTGCAAGTATCCCTTCTCATCTCCAGCAATGAGCTATAATAAAGAAAGGAACTTCTTTGTTTCTCTCTGGCAAAAAATCGCATAACAAATTCGAGCAAGTATATTCTGCTCTATTAAAATTATGGGGTACCCATATATCATACCAACTTACATGCCCACTCTTCTGGAAATTTCCACATACTGTACGTTTTGAAATATTTAGTCTCTCGTAGTTCCTAAACACTATAACATGAATTTTTAGTGGTAACTTCTTTTAATTAGTCCTTATTAATTTTATTCACTTCTTTCAATTAGTTTATAGAAGATGGTCATAAAGAGTGGTGAACTGCATCATCAAAAATGGCACTTTGCCCATATAAACATAAATTTTACAAGCAGTCTGACTTGCATTTTTTTTTTTTTTTCTTTTTAAAAATAAAAGCATGTAATATGACAAAAATTTAATTTGGTTTATTTATTCTTAACACTGTTCTGAAACAAAAGTTATATTACACCATGTCTAATGCAACGGAAGCAGAAAAAACTGTTTTTAAACTTCAACTTTAATCAGTGTCTATCCTTATCAGCAGTAACAAAATAATCATATGAAAACATAGTTTCATTTGGGGGAAAAAAAGTGCAGAATGTCCAGGTGACCTAATAGCTGTTGAAGATTCTAAAATATAAGGCTAAGATCAAGCAAAAAATTAAGCTGATACTGATTGACTTAGAAGTTCATTTAATAGAGATTCAATACCGACTTGTACCTTACTTCTTTATATTGAATCTTTCTCAGGGCAGTACTAAGAAAGATTCTTGGAAATTTACAGATCTCCTCAACTACTGAATAACGCTTGTGGCTACTAGATTTACTGAAAATGACCAATTTAGGGATTTTTCACCATATATTGCTAGAGAAGACAGTTTTTCATAAGTTACTTCTATACGTGCAACATATTGTGCAACAATTTATTATTCAGAAATAACAACTAAACATTCTTTGTAAACAACTAAACATTATAAACTAAACATTTAAACTAGATTTAAAATGTTTTATATTATTGAGAGAAGTCGTACAGAAACCAAGACAACTGAGAAAACTTTTAAATTATTGAGAGAAGTCGGAGAGGAACCAAGAGAACTGAGAAAACTTTTAGATTATTGAGAGAAGTTAGGCAAATATTAAAGTATTCAAGCTAAAAGATGATGAGAATACCCAGTATTCACAAAACTGATTTAATCTTTTAATTTTCTTCCATGTGCCCATTATTAAAAGTTCATTTAATTATATAGGTAAGGACAGATTGTAGAACAGCTTTGAACACTAAATGTTGCTCAAACCATGAAATTATTTTTCACTACCCAAAAATACTTATAAAACTTTTGGGTTAAAAAAAAAAGTCCTCGAAAGACTCCATTGTTAAAGATTTTAATGACAATCAGAACAGTTTACCAAAATTCTTTACATTCCATGAATCATTCCCTTTCTTCTAGTAATTCGTCATCTGTAAAACCTTTTAATATACTTCAAGTTATAATCTAATATTTAAAGGGTTAAGTGTAAAGCCAAAATATCAAATGTTCTTGCTGAAGTTTCAGTTGTAAGCAAAGAAAAATGCAGTAGTTCCAAAAATTACCACTCCCTTAAAAAAAAGGGCAAGTTAAATTTAAGTTATTTAATTATTTTTAAATATGTTGAGAAATCAAAAAGGGTAGGCAACAGTCAAATATAATGTTATAAAACATAAACTAACTTTTTTAATAGGTTTAAAAGAATATATTTTGCTTTCATAATGCAATTGTTTGGAAATATGTGTGTATGCATGCATATATATGTTACCATTAATATTCTGAATTATTTGAGCTATGCTGGCTTTTTACTCCACAGTAGTTTTCAGAAATTTGAAATGGCATCGTAGTGTACCCTGATTAATCCAACTGTAGCTTAAAGTAGAGCTTAGTAATTTGTACAAAAAAACTTTAGTAGATGATTTTATCTTTTGTAGGTTTAGTAAGTAAAGTCTTCCCTGCTGATAAAGTTGTTGAAGAAGCAATAAAATTGGGTGAAAAAATATGTACAAACTCTAAACTCATTGTAGCAATTTGTAAAGATTCTGTTAATAATGGTATGTATTGAAATTTTGTGTAGTTCTTATTCTAGTTTAAAATGTCATTTTAGAATTAACATCAATTCAGAAGTGCTCTTAAATTATGAAGCTTATGCATTTTGTTTACAGTAATTCTTTTATCAATGAGAAATCTGTTTAACAGTTTTTGTTCATATGTAAGTTAGTAATAAAATTTCCAAGGAAGTAAGGGCACTTACTACTAGTTATCTGATATCTACCAGCATGTTACAAACAGTTTGTTAGTGCTCTCTGATAATGAAGTTTGTTTTATTATTATTTATTTATTTTGGGGTATTGTTTGGCAGTTGCATTCAAAATGGCAACAAACAGATTGGTATTGTCTACAGCTTATTTCTGCCTCTGTATTAAGTCTGGTAAATAATAAAATGAGGGATGACAAAGTGTACCACATTGCTACTTATTCTTCCATTTTGATGATCCTCATGCAGATTCCGTTAGTTGTTCCAATCTTGGCATCAAAAGTGAAATTGAAATAAGAAAAGCATTCCGTCCATAAACAGAGTCATTAGTAATAATAATAGTTAAAGTTTAAGTGTATTCCAACAGGTACTGGATAATTAATTAGTGCCAGAATTATTTGAAAGAAAATCTCTTATTTTTTAAGATTGCTGAAGTTTATTATGGTGAAACATGAGAATATCTCTTTCCAGAATCTAGTTTTTAAATTTCTGCACTTTTATGAATTTCTTCTTCTTTCTTCTTCTTCTTTTTTTTTTTTTTTTTTTTTTTTTTTTTTTTTTTATGTATATTATTACTTTTTTGTACTCAGCATTTTTATAAGATCTGCAATCAGTTTTGTGAAATACTTCTGGATTTCTCTGTTTGACATCAGTAATCCTTAGAATCTGTTTCTTTTAATGATATACTTTTTGAATGAATATATCATTAAGCAGTTTTTCCTATTCAAAAGGCAGTTAAAATCATAAATGCCAAATCAGCCAAGTGAGATAACAAAAGTAAGCTTTAATATTTTCTGAGTTAATATTTCAAAAAAAAAACAACTAATATCCAGGTATGTTAACTCTTTGCATACGGCTTTATTTCCATACTTTCTGGTTCTGAAATATGGGATTTTTTAAAAATATTTTCTTTGTCTACAGTTATTACTATTCACAATATTATCAACAGTTTTTAAATAATATAAGCATTTTAATTGCTTTTGGGGGTTTTGAATTATATATAATATGGAACACGAAATTTCGGTTGGCATAATTTGCAAGTTATAAAATGCATACAATATTTTAAGGTGAATTTAATTTTTAACACTTTGTTGCAAAAATATGTACAGAAATTTTACAATAAAACAAGAAATATAAAATATGTAAAAAGGAAAAATCAATGTTGCTTTATATTAAATTACATACATACCAACAAGAGAAATATTTAAAATGTCAAAAAGTTTTAGGTCATTATAAATTTTGCAAATTGTTTAGATTGACCTCAGAAATAAAACTAGCAATGTTATTTTTACTCACATATTATTATTATTATGCAGAGCTCTTTTGCGTATGATAAATTTTGAAACATGGCTTTTAAACATAATCTAAATTGACACTCTTCACACTAAATGTGAGTTATTTTATGTATTTTCTTTCTATTTTCATCTTTCTTGGAGCAGTACCTAGCACCCTTTAGCACATTACACAAATTCTGTTTGATGAAATGTGCCCTGTAGAGCCATCAAATGCCGAAATACTGAACACCTAGATCGTTCTACCTTCCACAGAGAACAGTAAGATGCATATTGAAATTAAGGGCATAAAAAATCTTCCCGTACAATTTCTACATGAACTTTAGTAACAGACAAACTTGATAAACCTGCTCAAATCGTCAGAGCTGATTGCAGAGGGTTAAGCAATGCCTGTCAGGCTGGGGCCTGAAGCAGATGTGTCACTGCACCAGGACTGGGCGAGACTGACCAGCGCTGAGGCCTTCATGTGGAATGCCTCAGCTGCGCGGTGCACCAGATTGCATCTTTTCATTTATATTGCATCATGCAAATTATTTCTAACAGATGAGGTAATATCATGAAATATTTGCTATGGTTGATTTTACTTTGGTGTGAAGTCATGATTAATATTTTTTCTAATCAGAAAAATGGCTGTGGTATCAGTTTCAGAGAGCATGTAATGTTTGTGCATGATGTACCTATATATCTGTAAATTTCAATAATTATCTATTGGTTTTTATTATTATAAAAGTTATTATAGCAGGCAGCTGATTTATTTTCTGCCTAATCAGTATGAATATTTAGTAATCATTCCAATTTTGGTTCATGCCAGAGTAGTATAAGTTGTTATGCTTTAAAAGTTTGTATGTACATTATTTAATATATACAAAGTCAAATAAACCTGTGCCTCCCTGATTGGCTAAGTGGATATGACTGCTGAATGCTAGGAATTTTACCTGAGTTCAATCCTAGATGAACAGGCTGCCTGCATGATTGGTTTTCATGGTTTTCAGATGAATATGAGCCAATTTCTCTTAGAGTCCTTCACAGAGATGTCCTTTCCTCTAGGCATGTAGCCTTTATCTACTTTGCCATATTCAGATAATCTAATCTAACCAAATTAATCTGTAATGTGAATGTTGATGGTTTCAAAATTATTTAATTTTTTAATTGGATGGTATTAAGCTATATCACTGTTTTGCTACATTGAGCTTTTTAAAGTGAACACATATATATTTTACATCAATAAGGCAAAGAAAATATATTTTCCTCATTTGTTTAATTCCTTGTATCCCTAATTATAATGTTAAAAATTATACATTACCTTCAATTTCAGTTAAGATTCACCATTTTATTATTGATCTAAAGTTTTTATTTGTAAATTAAGCATAATCAGTAAGTTATTTTCATTAGAGACAATTTATTTGTAATTGAATATGGTTTCAATCAAAACTGCATAATGATGTTGTAGATTCAGTAAGGATATTAGCATTGATGTATCATCTAGTATTTGCTAATATTAGTATAAAACAATATTTTTTAAGATCTGTAACTTGTAGGTTTTGTCCATTGAAACTGTGTTCCACTTGGCATTTTTTATTTGGGAGGGGGTGATGTTTGTTTGATTTGGTGTTTTCCTCACTTAAATTGGCTCTAGCCTTTATTCCTGATGCAAAAAAAAAAAAAAAAAAAAAAAAAAAAAAAAAAAAAAAAAAAGTGTTTGAGAACAAACAATGATTAATTGGATCAGGCATTACTTTCATTACTGTTGGTTAATTTATTTATGGTGTCAGGAATTTACATATATTAAATTTTGCTAACCTTAGTGTACGTCTAACAAATCGTGCCACAACAGCTAATTTGCAATAATGATATGAGAATGATATTCAGGAATTCCGTGTTATCTTCTGTACAATTGTGGGAAATGCTGAAAGTTTATTTAAAATAAATAAATAATAAAATAGTGTAAAACAGAGGTGGGGAGCCTTTTTATTATGAGTGGCCACATAAGTTGATATACCTGCAAATGTGACTTTTGTGAAATTATTATAGTTTTTCACTTTATTGCATTATATAGAAATAATGCCAAAAAAATTAAGTCATTTATTAAAATAAAAATTTTTAATTTAAAATATTTTTGTGTTCACATAAGGCTAATAACTTATAACATTAATCTTTAATAATTCTTTAATAAACAACTGCATATATTTAAATACTGTTTCAAACAAAAATAATAAATTAGAAATATTTTTTAATAATTCATTGTGTTATAAAGGAAAACAATAGAAAAGCAATAATATTAAGCCATAAATAAAAAAACAGAGCAACAATATGTAAAATAATGTTAAAATCTGATGAAAATTTAATTAAGTGGGATATTTGCATTTGTTTCTTGCCTGAAAGTAATTGAATATTTGGATCAAGCTTCATAACTTGCAGCCTTAGTAGATCCTCTAAATGAGCATCTGTAATTTTTGTTCTTAAACTAGTTTTAATTTTTGTCATGAGAGAAAATGGTGACTTGGAGCAGTAAGCACTTCCAAAGCAGGAAAGTAAATAGTGTGCACGCTCTCATAGGCATGGATATTCAACAGCATTTTTCCAGTTTTCTGTGGGATCCTTTTTAGCATTCAAAAATGGATTTGAGAATACTGTCTTCCCCCAACTCGGATAACTCCATTTGTAGGCCCATAGGAGCTTTCGATATATCTAATAAAGGTGGTTGAAATGGCAGTTTCATAGCAGAAGTGTGCTAGTCGAAAATCTTGTAGTATAATCTTCTATTAAAAAATCCAAGATACCTGTATATTCATTGAATATTTTATTTTTACATTTTTGCTAGCTCCAGGAAGTGTTCTGCATATGTATCCGAGCAAGAGAGCAACGTTATCTAAAATGTTAATTTTTTTTTAAACGCTTGTATCTTTTGTCTCATTTCATATATATGCTTTGTTTTACCTTGCAGGCAAATATTTAAGTTGTTTTGTCATAATATCAGACAAAAGTGCAGTGTTTCTACAAAATGCGTCATCCGATAGATCACATAGTTTTTCCTGTTCTTGATAAATTTTAAAATTTGTCCTCATAAAGTTAAAACTTTTATCAAAACTTGTCCTCTTGATAATCAGTAAACCTTTTAACAGTACGGTAGATCAACATTGTAGGTTTCCTCATCTAAATTTAGCATCTGCCAAAATTCATGATGATGCATTGCATTTACACGAATATAGTTCGATCCAGAGTGTCTTGAAAAATGGTTATTTTTGTGCCAAGATTTTGATGATGCAAAATGCAATGAAATTATATCAGTTTTTTCAAGTTTTCCTATTTAACCAACAAATCCTTCTTTTTTACTTCTCATGGAAGATGCGCCATCGGTGCAGACACAGACTAAATTACTGACATTTAATTGTAATCCAGTGGCATAGTTCTCTGAAGTTTTCGAAAATGTCAGTTCCACAAGTTCTTCCAGTTAGTGTACTCAGTGCAAGAAGCTCTTCGCAACACTGAAGATCTTTAGTTACAGCATGAATAAAATGTAAAACTTGCTCAGAGTCAAGTTTTATCAATGTTTTCATTTAAAGTAGAGGTCTTAACCCGTCACCACGTGTGGCCCGCTGAAGGCCCCACATTTAAAATTTAAGAAAAATTACTTTGTCAGCTTTTTGTCATAAAAAAATTTTTTTTCCCTCTTATTCTTGATATTCAAAACATTTTATTGACAGGTCTGATATTACTTGAGATAAAAGTTTCTCAGAATGATGAATTTTTCAAAATTTTCACTTTATCTTATGTAATTTTAAAAATAAAAAATTTGACTACTCATAAAATCTCAATTCCATAAAAAGGTTAGATTCTTATCTCTAACAAGTTTGCAACAGATGTCAATTTTTTGTCAGTATGCTCAAGGTGAAAAATGGTTGAGAGACTTTGCATATCTTGTCGATATTACAGTCATCTCAACAGTTTGGACTGGGCTTACTGGGAAAAGATCTACTTATTCGTAATCTTTATTGCTTTGTGAAAGCTTTTGAGACAAAATTAATCCTGTGGGAAAGTCAGTTGCTAAATAAGAATTCCACTCACTATCCAAAATCGATGGAGTGTGTAAAGAATTCTACAACATGGAATTCAAAAAATTATGAGCAATGCATTTCAAATTTGAAAGAGTAATTGAAAAGCAAATTTTCCGATTTTCACGAAAATGAAATTTTTATGAGAATATTCTCCTTGTCATTTTCAGTAGATGTTGGAAGTGTTCCACCTGAACTTCAATTAGAATTTATAGATTTTCAGTGTGACTCTGCTGTAAAATGCACGTTTCTTGAAAATCCAACATTAATAGATTTTTATTCGAAGTACGTGATCATATCAGTACCTACATACGTGAACAGCTTTTTCGTAAAATGAAAATCCTAAAATCGAAAACAAGAACATGGCTGACAGACATTTGGAGGAAATTTTACAAATTGCAACAACACTGATTAAAACTAAAGTAATTACCATCTCCTGCCAAAGTAAGGTTTTTCTTCCCCCCCCTTTTTTTTAAATGCATTTTGTAACATTGTTCTGTACAATCATCTTTACTTTTTTTTATAGTTAGATAAAGTTGCAAAACATTTTAATTTGATTTCCATTTAACTTTTTTGGAACCAATGTATATATATGTATATATAAATCTGTAACCAGTGGCGTAGCTAGGGTGGGGCAAGGAGGGACAGCTGACCCCGGGCGCAGCATCCAGGGGGCGCCAAATTGATGTTATGAAATTTTACAATGAAATGTTTGCCACTCTTGGCACACAGAAAGGGGCGCAAAATCTTTGGTTGTCCCCAAGTGCTGAAAACCCTAGCTATGCTTCTGTCTGTAACACTATCTCTTCGCTTAAAATAAACTGTAGTCTTGCAAAACAAACCTTCCTTTTTTATATAAATTTTCTGACTATACTATTTTTTTGACAGACATGTGGCCCACGTATCTTTGTGAATTTATTGATATGGCCCTCAGGCGTGAAAGGTTGAAGACCCCTAATCTAAAACAATTGAAAAATAAACATCTTTATTTTGTGAAGTTATTCTGTTACATTTTCAGCTAATTCTTGCTGATGATCTGTTTTAGTTCTTGAAAGAGGCAATTATTTGTATCTATCAACTTTTCCCAGATCTGACATACCTACGGCTTCAACAGTACATTCTTTAATTATTTTATGTCATTACGTTGTCTGCCTTTCCAAGTATATGTGCTACTTTGTAAGTAACAGCAACTGCAATGTTACTTTTCTTTATAAAAGCATTAAAAAATGTCTGCTGATGATGCTTTCAATTTTTTTAATTGCAGCTTGTCGAGATTCACCTTCTAAATTGATTAGTATTGATTGCATTAATACAACCTCAGAATAAGTAAAACAATAACTAGATTTTTCAAACTCGATGGAGGCTGCATGTTTCCCGCCTCTGGTGAAAGCCCACCCTTTTTTTTTTTTTCCCCCCCACAATGGGTTTTTAGACGATTTTATGAAATCACAGAGTTTTTTCATGTTGCTGTTCTCAGTCATTGCATTTCATCTAATATCTGGCCAAATATATGGTGGAAAAACTGCAAGATATGTCAGCATGGTGCCAAAAATGCTTGGTATGCTAAGTGGAAAAGTACAAACTTGTAGCAAGTAATTGAAGTAGTCATGAATAAAAGGAAGGAACATTAACTTTTTAAATGACACAGTTTCATGAAAATATATATGTTTCACAGTTTATCATGACTATGTGAAAGTGTGGATAATACAAGGGATGATGATCAAATGAAAAGGTACGAAAGGACGTAAAAACGTAACAGTTAAATATTTGCATGTTCTGCCGGTTTCTCACCTTCCGCTGTCAGAAAGAGAACGTAGCAAGACATCTTGGGATGCGATTGGAATCTCTAACTGGGATCAGAGCATGCGGGTGCAGGAGAGAGCAGAGCTCTTATCAAAAGCGGCGTCCAAATGATGTGGCAGTTCGTATGAGGCCAGGATGGCGTTCGCATTGCAAAATTCGACGATGGAGGAGCAGCGAGGTGTTATCCAATTTCTGACAGCGGAAGGTGAGAAACCGGCAGCTATTCATCGCCGGATGGTGACAGTTTATGGGGAGAAATGTGCCACTGACAAGTCTGTCAGAAAATGGAGTGCCCGTTTCCGTGCAGTCCATGAGAGTGTGGGTGATGACCCGAGACCAGACCAGGCAACAGTGTCATCACGAGCGATCTCGACAAGGTGGACGATCTAGTGAGAAGTGATCGGCGTGTCACATTGCGAATGATGAATGTGGATGTCAGCTATGGAACCATGTGGACAATTGTTCACGGAAGGTGTGTGCCGCTTGGGTTCCGAAGCAGCTCACTGACCAGCAAAAGGAACTGGTTATGGGGCTAAGTGGAAACTGCAACTAGCACTGCTACATTTGTTTCGGTAATCAGGAAGACCCCGCTTTCATGGAGTGGATCGTCACAGGTGATGAGACCTGGTGCCATCACTACGAGCCAGAGACAAAGCAGGACAGCATGCGTCATCACCTTCCCCTAAAAAGTTCAAAGCCGTGCCGTCAGCAGGTTTCGATGTTCAAGGTCCGTTACTTGTGAAATTCCTCAAGCACAGAAAAACCATTAAACTCAGACGTGTACTGTGAGACACTTCGACGCCTACACAGGTCCATCAAGAACGAAAGACCGGGGCTGATCACGGAGGGTGTGGTTTTGCTCCATGATAACGCACATCCACACGTCTTCAGAGTCACACACGTGGAACTGGCCAAGTTCAAGTGGGAGACCATCCGCCCTACAGTCCGGACATGTCGCCCTGTGATTTCCATGTGTTTGGAAACGCTTCAACTCGGATGACATACTCAAGGACGCTGTGAAGGACAGGGTCTCGTCACGGCCACAGGAATTTTGGGAACAAGGAATCCACTGGCTTGTTCATCAGTGGGATCGTTGTGCTCAGGCCTATGGTGTATATTTTGAATAAAATCTACATTTGTATCCACCCCTGTCGTTTCGCAAATTTTCATTTGATCACCCCTTGTAAATGCTATATAAACGAGCATATTTGTGTAACATATATAGTTTATGTTAATATTAACTGGCAAACTACACAAATAACATATCACCAATGTATAATTGTGTAATAATATAGTATTTATATCTAGCTATACATTATATTCCAATATAATACTAAAATAATGTAGTCAAATGCTCTCTAACCTCTGATAGCCTATATTGCCAACTAACATGTTTATGACCTTGAAGTTGGAATATAACTCAAAGTTTGAGGGACTTCATGAGCACAAAAATATGCATAAAGTTAAGCAGTGAACATTTCTATTCTCAGTGCTTAGTCACGTCAGTCCCAAATAATTGTGCACATGCATGGGAAGAGAGTACTGAACATGTTTGAGCAGCCATATTTTGGCTATGCTACAGATTATCGTCACTTCATGTACATAACTTACAAAATTTACACTGATTTTTTTTCTTCTTTCATCTATCATTCTGAAACATGGATAGTGCATCAGTGAATATTTTGATATGACTGTTTTCTAGAATAATTAGTAATCCAGAAAAATATGCCGTTCTAAGATCCATCCCATTTTTGTTAGTGCATCAGTGAATATGGTAATGTGACAGTTTTCTAGAATAATTAGTAATCCAGAAAAATATGCTGTTTTGAGATCCACCCCATTTTTGATAATGTATTTGTGAGGGTGGAGATGTGTTATAAACAAGGAAGTATATTATGTGTAAATAATAATTAAGCTGGAATAATTTAATGGATAATTAAGAGTAATTATAATATTCAGTGAAATTAGTAATATATTATTCTGTGCTAAATTTGATATTCATGGAAATAATAGCTTGCAAAATTTATTAATGCATTATATTTTGACTTTTTTTTAAAACCCTTTTCAGCATATGAAACTACTCTTCAAGAAGGTTTGAAAATTGAAAAACGTTATTTTCATTCTACATTTGCTACAGTATGTATATTTAACATTTTGTGATTTTTTTTTTTACTTGATTCATTCATTTTATTTTTCATTTTGTAGTTCATTCATTTATTCAATTTTTTATGTACTTATTACAAAATAAAAGGATAGTATAGAAGTTAGAAATCTTCACATTAAGGACTGCATTTGATGTAAAAAAATAGAGTATGGTACATAATGCACTTTTCAAAGTTCATATTTTGTATTCACTTTCTCAACTAAACATGGGTTTTGTACCTTGTTATGGCTAATGCTCTTAATGATAGAATTGATCATGATAATTTTGTATACTTGAGCAGGCCAAAAAATCAGCTCTATGGTGTGTTTTCTTGAATAGTTTTAAGAGTTTCACTTAAAACAATTTATTTTATATATATCCACTACTATTTTTACAAGTCCTTTAAAAAGAAATTGAAATTTCTAATCTTATTTTTTCCCTTTAGTTATATCTAATATTTCGAGCTTTCATTATAGAGGCCTAGTGCTGTCTGTTTTACCCTTAAACACATACTTATGTTTATGAAAGATTAATAAATGCAGTGGCAAACATTTAGCCCAAGTAATTGTCATAAAAAGTCATGAGGACTTAATACAAATAAAAATATATCAAGACATCTGAGGTTTTTATTTTGCTATTTAAATTCAAAATGGCATGTAATTTTTTACCAACTGGTACATTTGCATAAACTTTGTTGAAGTTTACTTGTTTCTGCAATTTTTATATTGAGCATAAATACTTATTTTTACTGAGTATAGAATTACAATACCTCACTGGGAGTTCTGCAATTCAGAATTGGGATTTCCCCGATATTAGATCATCAGTTTAAATGTAATAAAATTGCATGTAGAAATTGATTTCTGAAACAATAAAGCATTTATAACCTTAAAAAAATCTCTCTTTATTTGTTTGCTTTATTAAACATTTCTTTCAATGTAAGTAGTTTAACTTCCTTAATTTTTTATACTAATATAATTTCTGTTTAGTTTTAATGGATAAATATAATTTCTTTTTCTGTTTCAAAGTTCCATTGTTGAAGTCCTTTAATTGTTGTATTGAGAATTCCCACTAAATTGTCAATCACAATTTTGTCGTTCTCACAACCTTTTTGCCATTTCTTATTGGTATCAATAACTTCTGGATTTAGAACCATAGTACAGATTTTACTGTCCATTAGTTGACTGATGATTGGGGCAGTGTCATCACAATGAAGAACTTCTGTTATATCAATGTTAATTACCACCATTTCTCCACATTTCTTCACAATTTCGATTAACTGGAAATTTTGCTTTTTGTTTCCAATACTGAAAACCTCAAAATTCGCGGCTATCACCATAAAGCTTAGCTAGTGTCAGCTGTACATTATTCACAATGTATCATGAGATTGGTGACTAAAGACATGTTATTCTGCTAAATTTTGTCTTGCTTATTTCGCATACTAATGAAGTTAACCCTGAATTATATTAGTTTAATTATTTATTATACTTACAGCTATTTCCTGCACATGTTTAAGGCTGAGTAGTGAAAAAAAATAAATTCCCACATATACTTAAGGTGTGTCCAGCACCAGTGCTAGACATTTTGTGGCTTGATGAAGTCTCTGCAGGTCTGAAGTTCTGCTACCAAGTCCCTCCCTGAATTCTAAAAATTTTAATGCCCCTAAATTTTGCATTCCGATGCCTTCTCTAAATTCTATAGATTTAGCCTTGCCTTTATTTTGTTTCTTGATGCTTCTCTAAATTATGCTGCCCTGTGAGCCCACCAGCGGTTGAGCAATGAAGTCACTGAACACTGGTAGTTTGGTCAGGGATCTGAATCCTGGCGAATGGGCTGGCTGCATGGGTGTTTTCATAGTTTCCCCATGTGTAATGTGTATACAGGCCAATTTTCTGCAGAAAGTCCTCCATGAAGGCATCCTTTCCCTTACGCAGATAGTTCTCAAGTGCTTTGCCATAATCAAATAAGCTAAACTGCTGCCCTGTATGGCCACATCAGCTTTGGAAACTGGTCTGGTCTTAATTTAATAAGTTATTCTTGATTCAAAAAGCACTAAGTCTTTTGGCTTATGAATGTCACTTACAAAATCTGTTTTTTTGCATACGAAAAGATATTTCTAATTTACAGCTCTCCTCGAGAACACCCTCAAATCTTCACAGTCAAATTAGCTGAAGTTTGTAATTATGGCCAAGTGTAATGTCAGCATAAATGGTGGTATTAAACTACTAATATTAAAAACTTTTTTAAAGAAAAGAGAATTAGGTATTGTTGCATGACTCAGTTTTCAAGCTGCAGTATGTCGAAGATCATGTGGTGATGAAAGCAAGAAGTACTAAGTATTGGAAAAAAGTATTGAGCTTGGAGTAACATGATTCTGCAGCAATAAATAAACCCTTCCCTGAAAAGCGGGTAAAGTAGTTTTCATTTACTTACATCACATGGTGTAAGTAAATGTACTTATTGCTTAAAGTCACCTGACTTTCCTAAACAAATGTGGACCAAGATAGTTTCAAGGATATTCCTTCCCCCTTCAAAAAAAAGCTATTGAATGCTATTAATCTTATTGTTTTAAGCAATTAATTTTGATATCTGGTTCTTGTTGGGAGGATTATTTACGCGCTATAGTGAAACCATCCCATCGATCCAAAAAACTAGTTTTTTTAGAAGTGTTCACCTTAATAGAATATGTCTGACAATGATATTCAATAAGAGATTTGAAGAAGGGACTACACATGATTTTTTCTTCAATTTGTTTTTCAGTTTTTTTCACAAAACATGAAAAAACAAAATATGGGAAAAGCCTTGCTTTGTTTTATTCAGTTTCAGTATTGTACTTGTGTGACTGTTTACAATTTTTTTGAATATTATCTTTTCATATACAATATTTTTTAATAATTTTTTATTTGTTAATTATTCTTCATCTAATATCTTTTCTCAGAAGTTAACTTAGCTCTCCTGTTTAATTCTACAGAATTTTCAAAAGGTGATTCATTTAACACATTCACTGCCAGTGAAAAGGATATTTCCATCCTTAGAAGCTGGATTACAAAATTGTGTTTTAATGATTAAAAATGTTCCATGTATTTTACTAATAAAACCCGAACAATGAAAAAACATTTTTCATGTTTAGTTTAATTTTTTTTCAGTGTTCTATGGTGTCAGCAGCTCATCAAGATTAACATGTCGTATGTGTATCACTTATGCTGTAGTGCACCTGATCATTAGTCTGAGAAATTATTAACATATTGCATAAAGACAGAATTAAAAGAAATGACCTGTGTATGACAATACAAAGTCACATTTATGAAAAAAATGTAGAAAATCTGTTCAAATAGCAAGCACAAAGTACAGATATTGGTCACTAGCATTATTAAATTATTCCTACTATTTAAAAATGTTGAAGCAAAATGAACAAATTCTCATCTCTAAAGATTATAAAACAACAAATTATATATAATACAAAATTGATAAAATAGAAAAGCATGAAAAGAATACAAAGATTATAAGCTGAATGCTAACGGAATGTCATTTCTGTAGAAAATAGTACTGCATTACTATGTCATCACTTATGGTATATTTCAAACCAGTTCAAGCATTACCCTGGTTTTTCTGAGTAGTCATGGCACACATACATGGCATCCGTGTGTTTGCCTTGATAGGAACAAGATTTGCACTATTTTTGTTTTGCTAGCTGCAAATTCTCTTTTTTTAAACAGTATATTTGAAGTTCTTTGGCATGTACTTTTGTTCCTTCATTAATGGCAAAAGTGATTTTATAACGTTGAATCGGTAGATGTAAAGTGATATTTTATTTCCAGAATATTTATTATGAAGGGCGTGTAAACTAATTACAGTTACTTAAGAACAACTTTTTATTCCAGTTCAGTGCTTTTCTCTCCAAGGAATAATATGAAAGTATTTGATCTTGCCAATCTAGACCAGGTGTAAACATATTATAATTGATTATTGCCGAAAGCTTCTGCTTTATGTAATATATTTTAAATCACAACAATTTCATTTTTATGTCCCGTAGAAATGTAACACATTTCATTTGTTCAGTTTTCTGATTATTACTTTCTGACAGTATCTTTCTCTAGTATAGTACAAAGTCCAAAATCCGGATGTCCATTATCTGGAATGATCTAAAATCCGGACCTCAAAAGCCACAAAACTTTTTTTTTTTTTTTTAACACATGCGTATTTGTTTTTCCTTCCATAATAAAGCACGTGAAGATTTTCACTTAAAAATTCTGATTCTTAATTTCACTTATGCACTAAATACCTCATTATGGAAAAACAATCATGCAAGTATAAATTTGTGAGATTAATAATTTGGCTTCGTAGCCGAGTATCTGCTATCTCAAATCTAAACATTCACCTATTTTATATCCTTGATGCCGACCTGGCGAGCCATTATTTATTATATTTTGCTTTCATCACTGCATATTTATCAATACATGACAGCTTCAGTAATAGCTCATGCAGCAATATCTAAACTTTTTTTTATATTAGGAAATTGAATAACAAGGGTGTGGCAACCTTTTATACCATTACGCTTGGCGATGATTATAGATTTTTAAATGCTCCAAGAAATGTTGACAAGGAAAATTTCAAAAAAAACTTTCTTTTCATATGCTAAAAATAGATTTTGTTAATGAAACTCATAGGCCGAAAGATTACATTTAGTGCTACGGCACCGGACGACAGAATTTAGGAAAGTTACCTGCAGTCAAGTCATAATGGGGGACTAAGCGCTCTTCTATTGTGACAACTGCTTGTACTCTCTGTGTCCTAACAATGAGGACTCATTAGCGACTTTTTTTAATTTTAGCTTTTCCTTTCACCCTTAGCGAATGCTTCTTTCAATTATTTCAATTTCATTAACGATGATGTGGAGGTAATTGCAATTTATTGCGAAGGTACTCTGTAATCAAACGCCTTGGTTCTTGGGCCAAGCGGCAAAATTAAGGGATGAAAAGTTTTTTATGATTTAGGGAAAGCACTGGGATCCAAAGTTTAGGCACGGTGAAAATTTAGAACTAAGCAGAACTTAGGACCCGTAAAGACTGTACCAAAGGTGGTATCTAGTGCCGGCCCTAGATAAAGCCTTAAGTATGTGTGAGAGTTTATTTATTCAGAGCTCAGACTAGTTTTAAGCATGTGCAAGAAATAAACGTAGGTATAGTAAATTATAAACTAATACAATTCAGGCTTAATTCGGTACGCAATAGGAGCAAGACAAAATTTAACGAAACAGCTTGGCTTTCGTCACCAATCTTGTGATACACAGCCAATAATGTATAACGGACGCTATTAAGCTAGGCTAAAATTATCTTTACTGATTCTAAGGCATTTCAATTAATGTAGCAGACTGCACTGCTCCCTAATCTTATATTTTGATCCACTTTATTATTTTTTGCAGACTGTTATTATTACAGCAATTTTATAAAAACTAAGCTTTTGATTATGTCAAAAAGAGTTTCCAATTCTGGAGCTGCCAAAGAATCTACGAAGCAAAACCATGTTTCGATGTCTATTAAACAAAAAGTGGAATTGCTGCAAAAAATGGATAAAGGCATATCTGTCTCAAAATTGTGTGTGGAGTATGGCATTGAAAAGTCAACTGTATATGACATAAGAAAAGGGAATTTTTTGAATTTTTGTTGGAAGCAACTTTAAGAACTTACATTGAAAGAAATGTTTAGTAAAATAAACATATAAATATTAAGCTTTTTTTGTAAATTTTGATACCCTTTAGATCATAATTGTTCTTTTTTTCATAAATTACGATTTAATATTTTTTAATTGTATAATTTCTGCATGCCATCTTTACCAGATTTAAATTGATGATCTAATATCTGGAAAAATCCGGAATCGCCGAAGTACCGACGAGTCCGGATTTCGGACTTTGTACTGTATCACCTTTTCATAATTTAGCAGCTAGTCTTCATTTTCTGTACTTTCATAATCAAAAGGTCACTCTTTTATTTTGGCATTAGTCAATTTTTTAATTTACTTTCCTTTTACTGAGCTGTGAAAGTCCTGCCGTACGTGTACCGTCCACCATTTTTAAAAAGCACTCATAAACAAATTCGAACATAAAATCTGAAAATCATGCATGTAAAAAATAATAATAATAATAATAATAATAATAATGCTTTGGTAACATGCCTAAACAACCTTTTTCATTCAACTTTCAGTGTTACACTAAAAGCATATAACTTGCGATAGTCAACAACATCCCAGACGGTCACTAGCATATGAAGTAGTGCATTCTAACTTGTCTGTGGCAGTAAATGTGTTAAAATTCTACTGATGATTTAATTTGTTCACTTTTTAAACATGAAGAGACACTACTGGAATAAAAGTCCAGAAATTTTTCTATAAATCAATCTCCTTTTAGACTTGAATTTCTTTAAAAGTATATCTGGAAAGTACATCAACAAAAATTATGTCAACTTCATTTGTAAGATCCATGAATATTTATAGAATGCAGAACATTTTCTAAATGTATTCTGAACCTGCACACTATAGTCAAGTACACGACTATTTGTCACATAGAAACAGTTGATAATATATTCATTTATTTGTTCAAAGCTCTTTTTGGCTGGAGTGATTTTTGATAACATGTATGCTAATGGGTTAAGCAGTTAGTAAATATCATAAACATGCTGCTATTTTTCTATGAAAATGTCATTTCCATCTATATTGCTAATAAAGGCATTCAAAATCACAGCTTGTGAGTAAAAATAGAAGGCTTTGAATTATTAAGGACTATGAGCGACTCACAGTTGAAATTTTTTTAAATAAGGTGAACAGTTTCATAAAAAAAGTCTCAATACTGAATTTTGGGGAGCGGGATTTAGAAAAAAATCTTTCTTTTATGTGGTCTGTAGTAAATTAAAAGTGCAAGTAAGGAAATATTCATTGAGCTTTAATTAATTTGAGAAAACATAAATTTTTATTTTACTAAGATTTTGAAAATACTGAATTTACCTCAAAGTGGCAGAGGAGAATGTATTCTAACCCTAATAACGTACTTTTTTAGGGGGGAGTATTGTGTTTTGCCAGTCATTATTTTTTGGGGGGAAGCAGCATTCATCAGTTAATTTATAGCTAGCTTCTTTATATTTTGTGAAAATGTTGTTAAGTTTCTGCTTGCATTTATGGAACATTTTGTTTTCACACAGTAAGTATATTTTGCTAAATGGAATATTTTCTATGACCACAAAATGGTACTTTCTAATTATTCAGATCCTTATGGAAAAGGGCTAAATTTGTGTTCCAAAATGAGGCAGTGTATCATATGGCCAGAAAGTATTTCTGTGGCAACCTATGCTGCTGTCAAAAAATATTTATTTAGCAACCCAAGCATGCATGTAACACAAGTGTGTTTGAGTACATGTGGATCTGCACTTGTGAAATTCAATGCTCATTTTTTTATTAATATTAACTTTTGTATTGAGTACATTTTTTTTTTTTTTTTTTTTTGTCGTGATGAATTCTAATAAAATTGTGGAATTTGCCCTCTTTTATTTTCATTATGTTGGAGTGTACATTGAAGTTTCAACTGTTTTTGAATATGTAAGAATGTTAATTTAGAAGTCAAACAACAATAATCAGCAATATATTTTCAAATTTTCACAGGAGTTTCGATGGTTTTACCGAACCATCATCCTCAGCTGCAAAAGTGCTATTGCAGCTGAGGATGATTGTTCAGTAAAACCGTAAAAACTAGTCCTGTGAAAATTTGAAACTATCACGCTGATTTTTGTTGTTTGACTTCTAAATTAATATTTGTTCGGCATGGTATTGTATCTTAATGTAAGAATGTCTTGTCTTGGACAGTGTACAGTGCTAATTTTGTGCAATTCTCTCTCTCTCTCATTTTTTTAAGCAAAAGCAGATTGCTATATGTATGGGTCAGGCAACAACACAACAATATTAACAGAATTTTTCTTGAAAAAAGGTTATCAGTTGATGTTAATTATCTTTAACAAGTTTCCATATTTCCTTTGAAAAAAGGAAGACTTGAAAGAAAATCATTGGAACGTCGTAGATATTCAAGCAAATGTTTCTGTGCAAAGTAATCAATGAGTTTGCAGATGCTCACCAACGTTTTCAACAAGGTCACAACTTTGTGGTAGGATTGCAGATAATCAGAAAATAACCAAAAAGCATTACATTTAATCCAGACTTATAATGTTGCTACTGTTTTCATAAAATGTTGTGTTCTATATAAAGAAACTTAACTGAATTGCTTATCTGCGATTAATGTTTAAGGAAGTGAAACATCTTTTTCAAACTCTATGTCTGTATAGTGCAATAAGTTAATTTTAAAATGTTTATAACTGAGGGAAAAAATGGATCAAAAGCATAAAAACCGTAGTGACGTGTGTAAAATCATTTGTATTTAATTGCATTAACTTTTGAAAGCATACCATACAATTTTTGGAGTTGTGTATTTTTAATGGTCATCTTTTTTGTTACAGAATGATCGCAAGGAAGGAATGACTGCCTTCTTAGAAAAAAGAAAGCCAAATTTTACTGATAGTTAAAAAGAAGATTGCTTTGAAAAGAAAGCTGTTTAATAATATTTTGTGAATTGTTCTTCACTGTATATTTGTTAAGAATTTATGTATTTTGTATGCATTTAGAATATCCAATTAAAAGTTAATGACTTTTTTCATTGATTTAAGTATTGAGTTAAGAAAAAAAAGGAAAATTGCATTGTAAAGCAGTAAGTTAAAAAATGACAGCATATTTAGAACTACTTTTGCAAATATCAGTTCTTTTGATTTCCAGATATTTTTGGTAATAACAATCTTTCTGTATCAAATTTTTTCAACAGTGCCCAAAGTCAGAATGTAGCCCTACCTAACTGCTACAGTACATTTCTGATGGGGTTAAATCAATAAAATAAATACAAGTTTCAAACTTAGAAACAAGCAGCAAACTTAGAACTTGCAGCTTTGTTTCATGCTCCCTCCCTCAATGGCAGATTACAAAGGCAACTGTAGACAGAACAAGCAAATATGAAAAAAAAAAAAAAAAATAGGACAATAAAGCTAAAAGCAATACACAGTATAATCTATACATCTGTTTTGGGTTTCTCCTCCCAATATCTCTTTCAGAGGGATCCAGCATTAAGTGCAATGCAACAACTCAAATATATAAGGTATCTATTTCCTCATCAGCAGGTTGCACAATTTACAAATTGGCATTCGGACAATGTTCATTTGATGCAGATGTTTTAAAAGACAATCATGCCCAGTATTAAGATGAAAGGTAGCGACAGATTTCTTTCTGTTTCTTCTTTCGAATGGTCATAAAGAAATATTAAAAATTGTGTTAATCCGTATTTTGTAATTGTTCCTTTTCAGTAACACCTTTCCAAAAAGCTTCTCTGTAGCAATTTTTTATTACTTTTCTCACAGTGTAAAAAAGGATGTGGTTATCAGTTATTTGAAGAATTTTGGCCCTTTTCTATGCCAACAAAAATGTCTTTTCATTTTCATGCATGACACAGTGTAATGGTATCCACTGAATGGCGACTTCTTTGCCATCCTGAGCTAAGTTGTTTAGTTAGTAACTGCTGACATTTTAAAACATCAACAGATATTTGTGATTCAAAAGAAGAAATGGCTAGAGGAGCAGCTTAAGAATCAGAGTATGACAACCTTAAAAAAATATTCAAAGTGACCCTGAAGTTGGTAATAAGGCTACGAGTATATGGCCGTGATCTCAGCATCAAAAGTAGGTTTATTCCTTCCAACAGGATTTTAAAATGAAAAAAAAGCTTGCAAAAGATGCCAGTGCCTTCATTAAGTCTATCAGCCAACAGTGAAGGGGCTTACAACAATAAGTAATAAGAGGTAGAATATTGGAGCTGTATGTCAAATCAAGTTTCGTTCTTGAACAATGCCATTTAGGTCCAGCTCTCTTCATTAAGGATATCATTTTGAAGAATCAAAAATGACATTTCAAGTATTCAAAGCTGTTTTTTACCTGTGCCCAGGGTTCGTAGCGGTCCTTACAAGTGCTTATAAGTCCTTATATTTGAAAATAAAATATAAAGGCCCTTATAGGTGCTTACTTTTTCTTTAAAGCCCTTATTTTTTTGTTTTTAGTGCTATTTTTTGCTTTTAGTGCTTTTTTAATCCTTTTTTTTTTAATGAACGCACATTTTTTCCCCGTACCAAAACCAAAACTAAATAAATAACTTTTCTTCCTTATTTAGCAATGTCAGATGGTGAATCATACTCCCAGAAAAAGCTTTTCCCCCTGTTCCTTTCTGTGCATTAACATAACCTTTCGAGGCTCGCACAAGTACAGACAGGTGCATGCCGTTCTATTGGTCACAGAATTGTGAAAACGGTAAAAATTCCAATACATTCGGTATATTCTTTTACGTCCACCCAATATTACACACGTTTGGAATTTTTACCAAGGTATTAATAATTTATGCATTCTCGTTCCGCATAGGTCATTTCATGTTCGCGTTTATTATGATCGGTATGCTTATATGCATATGCATGAATATTTATATAGTTGCAGTAACTGCTGAAGTATAGATAAACTTCCAGAAATGGGTGTGTTTTTACACACATTAGCTTTCTAAGGAATAATATTTGGAATGGCTTAAATAAAAGGAAAATAATCGAATAGTCAAAATATTATTTTTTTTTTTTTTCCAATACATATACAGTACGGAGGTTGGGAGGTCCTCCTCTTTCTTCGAAAAATCTCTAATATTGAATCAGCAGACTTTTTTTTTGTCACCGTCCAATCTGGATTGAATAGGACGATAAAAGTTTTTGCGGTCTACCCAACCCAAGTGAAGATTGATTCTATTCCGGAAATTTAATGCAGTCTGTTGAAAATTAGAATCAGAAACACCCCAGATTAGTAAGTCTCCTTCTTTTCCTTTATTTAGTTCTTTATTCTCCGAATACCGGCAGCTGTTGATTCCGATTGCATAATATCACATGTGGAAGAATTACGCCGCACGTATTGCGCAATAACGTTTGTGGTATTTTGGAGAGATAATTAATTTTGATGTTCAGTCTGAGATTTGTTTATGAACACTTAAAAGAGTTTTACTGTGCTTTCTAAGCAGAATACTTCTGAGTTCCGTTGGTCTATTTTTATATGATGCACATATCAAAATGTCAAAATCATTTATTTAGCCGAGAAATCTAAAGAAGGCTACAATCTCCCCCACTCCTCTGTAGCCTCCAAAAATTGTGTTAATCCGTATTTTGTAATTGTTCCTTTTCAGTAACACCTTTCCAAAAAGCTTCTCTGTAGCAATTTTTTATTACTTTTTTCACAGTGGAAAAAAGGATGTGGTTATCAGTTATTTGAAGAATTTTGGCCCTTTTCTATGTCAACAAAAATGTCTTTTCATTTTCATGCATGACACAGTGTAATGGTATCCACTGAATGGCAACTTCTTTGCCATCCTGAGCTAAGTTGTTTAGTTAGTAACTGCTGACATTTTAAAACATCAACAGATATTTGTGATTCAAAAGAAGAAATGCCAGATATTCCACATAATAACCGAATAATTGAATACCGAACCAAATTGCCGAATATTCCAGATAGTAACTGGAAAACAGTTACTATCTGGAATATTCGGCAATTTCCGAGTATGCGGATTAGTTAAGCTTTTACTGTTAAAAGGATGACTGCATGAAGCAATTTCCTGTCTTCTGATTTCAGAAATGTGCCTCTTTGTTACTTAAATTACTTTGCTTGGAATATATGTCAAGGGAAAACTGTTATGCAATGAAAATTTAGAAAATGTTCAGAATTTTGATTTAAGTTAAATTATTTAAATATTAATATGGGTGGAAAAATAAATTGTATTTAGTATTAGGTGCCAAACGAATACAATTAATATGGCTTATTATTATTTATTTTCTATATTTTGAACTGGAATTTCATCATTAAATCTTGTAATATAGTTTAGTTCTGCATAGTTCTTTTCTCTAATTGTAAACTAATTCTGTAAATTGAACTGTTATTTAAAATTGAGAAAAAAAAAAAAAAAAAAGTTTTCCATGGCTGAGGTAATGCTCATTCTCTTAATAAATATTGCATTGCTCATATTTTAAATTACAAGTCTAATTTTTCTTTTAAGGTTATGTATGCAGATGTGTATAATGTAAATAGACAGGTGCTTATTTTTGCCTTAAAATGCACTTGAAAAGTGCTTATTGGTGCTTATTTTTTTAACTAAAATATGGCTACGAACCCTGTGTACCGGAGATAGCAGATATAAAAATTAAAAATGTATGATACACTGTTTTCTCTAAATTAATTTTTATATTATGAGTAAAGCACCAGTCTTCTAAAATCTTTTAGGGACTGATTTAGAATTAGCCCTGATTTTTCCTTTCCATGGCGTTTGAGGGTCTATCCAGAATACCAAATCATCAGTGTACAGTAAACGTTTAACACTGTTTTTTTTTTTTTTTTTTTTTTTTTTTTTTTTTTTTTTCCCCTCCAATTCCAGTTAAGCACTTTTTATGTAAATGTTAAACAGAAGATAACTAGTGACAGCTCCCTGTGGGAGGAGCGTTTTAAGAAATTTATATCATGGGAAACAGTTTTCATAACAAACTCTACAATTCACTGGCTAAGAAAACTCTTAAACTAACAAAATATTTTTTAGTAATTCCCAGTATTGGAGAGCTTCAAGAGAAGAGTATTCCATAAAAACTGAGTTAGATCTCTGGTCAACGAAAAGTGCAGAGAAGATATATTTTTCAACCAGTTGTTCATTGGCTAAAAATGTTCGACATAACTAGTTAGCCTTTTCTGAATTATCCTCTTCATAGTTTTACATAAAGTACTGTGAATGAAATCAGCCTATATCATCTTTATGTCGCTGAGTTCATTTCCTTTTGGAGGGGGGATTAGCATTATTAGGGATTTACGTCACGCTAAGGGAATACAAGTAGTATCCCCCACAATATTGAAACACTTCAGTATAGTATGAGTTGCTTTTGTGCCTAAATTCGTAAGAAATTTAACACGGATTGTATTTTCATCTGGAGATATATTAGGTTTTAAATGGCTCAATGCTACAGAGATTTTATCTGTGATGACTGAAGATGGGAAGGGAATTTTGCAATTGTGAAGAATATTTTGAATGAATTTTATACTTGCTTTAACTAAGTTTATCTGCTTTGTACAGTAATCAGATTTATGTTGTCTGTTGGAGAAATGTTGCACAAATACATTTGCTATTTATTTTACTTGAAGTAATAGACATTCTATTCACTAAGAAGAATTTTTAATCAATATGGAATTTTCGTTTTTATTTTTTGCAAGAAATTTATATGTTTATATGCTTATGAAATTTATATGCTGTGTTGGAGATAATATATTTTAGGGAAGTCTTTCTGTAGGTCAATCAGTTAGATTTACTGGTTGCGAAAATTCCCTGAAATGTGTTTCGACGTCCACTAGAGGGTTGCTAGAAGGTCTGATAAAGGTTTTATGTCTTTGAAGGTTAAGGTCTAAATCACCAAAAACTAGAAGTCACTAAAATGTTAACCATCACTTTTTCAGATTGCAAATACATTTTCGTTTCCAGAAACATGAACACGGCAACATACACTTGCATTATTTGTGATGCTAAATAATACTTCATTATATTAATACAAAGGTAAATAGCTTTTCTATTTAAAAGTATATATATATATGATTGTTTATCAGTTTGAAGTATATAATTTCACAGCCATTCTGTTTTATTATTTATTGGAAGCATGATGCCACTAATAGAATTCTGGGATAAGTTTATATTTTAACAGGTTTATCTCAATTCATTCTTGTTTTTAAAGCTTAACATTAGTTTGGAGACTTCCATACTATGCTATTTCTTAACCTTAGTAAATTAAAATTTAGAAATATTTCCTGTTTCAAGTACAAATTCTTGAGAGGTATCATGCAGCTGCTGTATTTCAGGTAATTCTGAATTTTTCTCGTCTTCCACATCAAGTGTACTTTGACTACCTAAACTTCTAGTTTCAAGATGTGCTTGTGGTTTATTTGGTAAAGGATCCAAACTCATCCATGGCTTAGTAGCTACATTTGATGTATATAGAGGAGCTTCTTTTCTCTTACTTCTATGATCTTTTATTTGATCATGTGTGTACAAAAGTACTGGAAATGATTCTACTTTTCTCATGGAACTGCCATAATTATTTGGTTGGGTAGAAGATTCTAATTTTTGTATGCTATTATTTTCGATAATTGTACTGTTTTGTTTATCAGCAACTGTTTGCTTCTGCCATCTTGGTTTATATACATAAAAATAAATTACTGCTGTTAAAGCTATAAGCAGGAAGACTGCAATTACTGTGCTTCCCACAATTATTCCAATTTCGCTGCTTTTTGTAGATTTACCTTCTTCTTCTCGAGGAATTTCAGTAGTTGTCATTTCATCAGGAGAAATATACATCAGACTAAGAGAAACAAGATTGGACAGTTCACTGACTTTGCCATTTTCGTTCTTTGATTGGATACCAATATGCAAAGTCTGATTTTTTGGCACCATAGCATCAAATACTATCGTAGCTTTTTGTTTAATACCATACAATTCGGGTTTTGGTATGAATTTCTCTTTCACCCAAGAGGAAAAGCTACTATTTCCTGAGCAGTCTTCTTGTTTGAGGCATAGTTTTAATGCATAACTTGAGGCTGAAAATAAAAGTGGTGTACTAAAAATCATGGGAAACAAAAAGACACAAGACATTAAAAAATTTATTTATTTATTATGCATTTATTTACAAGCTTTTTCTACAAAGCAGCACAAAAATATAGCTTAAGACATTTTGTGAAATATTACATTCACAGTAAGATTTTATGAAAGTTACTATGCTAATTTTAAAAAACACTCAGGAAATATTGATTCAGAAATATTTATAACATGTTATTCCAAAATAAAAAGTTTATTTCAAATGTCCAGCTTCATCTACCATGAAATTATTATATCATAGGTAGAAATGAAGCATTTATACCATTAATAATGCAGCTGTATATCATAAAGCTCCTGCATTTTAATAAAAAGATTACATACATAATGTTTCCCAAAAGAAATAGCTGTATTTTTTTTTTTTTTTTTTTTTTTTTTTCACATTCAACTAAAAAATTAGTGTTCTGTTTTTAATGACATTGGGATGAAACGCAATATAGAATTTTTTTATGAGAAAATTCACTATAATATTTGTCATGTATATGTTCTCTCAACAAAAATAAGCTTCTCCTATGAGAAGAATTTAAAAGCAGCATCAATTCTTTGTGCAAAAATGCTCTTTCCAGCTACAGATACGATTTGGCAACATATCCAAAGTCTCAAAACTAGCGTCTATTATCGAAAGGAGTATTTTTACATACCCACACACATCAGAAATATACTGTGATAAAGAATCAAAATATGTAATTTAAAATTAAATTTCAGTTTCTTTCAATTTTATGTTTTATTGTCTAATTAATATTCATTTAATTAAGACACAATAACATGCCGAATACATACTAATTCAGAAGTCAAACAACAAAAATCAGCGTTATACCTACAAAATTTTCACAGGACTAGTTTCGATGGTTTTACCGAACCATCATCTTCAGCTGCAAAACCGCAATTGAACAAGATAGGAAATAATCCTATCTTGTTATTTCCTATCCATTCCTATCCATTATTTCCTATCTTGTTCATTTGCGGTTTTGCAGCTGAAGATGATGGTTCGGTAAAACCATCGAAACTAGTCCTGTGAAAATTTTGTAGGTATAAACGCTGATTTTTGTTGTTTGACTTCTGAATTAGTAATATTCATTTGTTTCTTTGACCAAAAGAAATCGAAGAGTATTATTTTTCATCATGGCAAAAAAGTAACTGACATGGATTTGTGTTGATATACAGATGATAATGAATTTGTTTTTGATGAATATGAAACTTATTTAAGAGTGATTTTGTTGATATTAAATGTTCTATAGTAATAAGTTTGGGGGGAAACAAAATATTGTAGTTCAATGATATCGATGAGAGCCAGGAAAATATGAGATTAGAAAATGCAGCTTGATGTTAGCACAAAAAAATTCAGTAATTGGTAACGTGCTTGAAAAAAAGTTTCTCAATAGTTTGATATTCTAAGTGAATTATTTAAATACCTCAGTTTATATTTTGTAAATGATTTGATAGACAGTATTTAAAATATATTATATAGACAGCATGTTATAAAAAGGTATTACACAATTAAATGGAAATTACAAATAACTTATAATTGAAAACTTCATTTATGAAAATCTCGATTATATAATGAAACGATATTATAAAAATATTATCACTTTGCTAATAAATTTCGCTTTTAAATAAATAATGGATTTCAAAAGCATGGAAAATAAAATATTCTAGTGCTGCAAGATTTATCCGAGGAAAAGCTCAAGTGCACTCAGCAGTCTTGGACATGAAGAATCGTTTATAACATCGAGTGTGAATGGTTGTGCGAATATTTTCAGCAATTTTTGCGATGTGAATAGTGCTATATTACTGTGCATTGGAATACATTGTTAACCACATTCATATTTCTATTTTAAATTGAGTTAACCAATGTAACAGTTTAAGTGTGTCACTTAACGGTAGTTTTTAAGAATGGTAATTTTTAAGAAGATAGTGGATGATGAAACACGTTTTAAATAGAACAATAAATTATAGTATTTTAATAATGAGCAGCAATATTGCAGGTAAGAAACTGTAAATGAGGAATTTTTTTTAGAAATGTATAAATTATCTTATGTTTATTTATAAACATTTCAATTCATTATTATTCAGATATTTAAAATGTGCATACACGTTAATAATGCTGTCAGTGTTCATTGGAAATCTCTAAAGCCTTTTTATTAAGTGCAAGTTTTGGTTTGGTTTAGTTGATTAAGGCAAAGCTCACTAGGGCTATTTGCCTAAAAAGAGGGACCTTTCTAAGGGAAACTGTAATGTGCAAGTTTTACGAATGCTTATCATTCTGATAATCTAAATTGCTTTGTATAATTAGACTACATTTCAGTTTCTGCATTATTTTATTTATTCTAGACAATAATGTAAAGTATTTGCTAATATGTAATATTGAGATTTTTAAAATGTAAAAATAATCTTTAAGTTCTTCATATTTCTATTGTTTTTATCTTATCATCAATTTTTGTTTCAAAATTTTTACTTGCATTTGCCTTTTATTTACATGCAATTTTCTATTATGCTTTAGGACATAATGCATTTATTTAAAAATATTTTATTTAAGAAATAAAGAAATCGAAAATTATGTTAAATTTGTAACTTTGGATAATTATGAATATGCAACATTCAAACTTTTATAAATTCATAATAATCCGAGTTCTACATATAAAATCTTCAAAACTGTTGCAGTATCGAAGTTTTTCAAATACATGATCTATAATTATAGGCCTAACAGTTAATATTTATATTTGGATATTTTTTAAAATATGCTTTCTTTACAGTAATTTTGCCTTAAACAAATGTTGATAGCTTTGATGTTTTTGGAGACTGTTGTGGATCCTTACGGCCTTTTGCTACTTCACTATATTCAACAGAAGTTTCGTTATCAACTTCCATACCTTTGTTTTCGTAAATTGGGCCACTCTGAGTACTGTTGACTTTATTTTCATCAAATATTGGAGGATTTTTATTCTCGATTTTGGCATTAACAACTTCATTGTGGTGTTTTACGAGAACATCTGCTGGTATAGAATTCAAAGGGTTTAAAACATGGTTTTCAGTTTGGGAATCTTCTTTGGAATTTTGATTAGTAAGTTGTTGAATTTTTCTTTTTCTTGCTTCTTCCATCTCTTCTTCCTTGCGTTTAGGTTTCAAAACACAGAAGTAAATAGCTAGATATATGCATATAATCAAAACAATAACTAGAACAACAATTCCTATAACAATTCCTATTATTTTATTTGTTTCACCCGTTTTGGATGTATCACGGGTTGTAGTAATCTCGTAAGATAATGTAGTGCTTCTAAATAACTCTGGTATAAGCAATTTAACAATGTTCGACGTTTCGCTGCTTTGATTGTTGCTATTTACAGATCGTATGGCAATATAATACACAGTATTTTCATTGAAAGCATTATTGATTTCGATTTCAGTTTTCTCGATGCCCCCTCGTAATTTAGGTTGAAGATTTACGTCAAGAGCTATAGAATTGCTTTCAATAAAGTTGACCGCTTCATTTCGGGAAGTGAACGCTCTTAAGACATACTTTATTACTAGAAACAAGAGAATAAAAGCATATTATAACTCACCAAATATTCTCAGTGCATGGAATTTAGTGAATATATATATTACTCTTATAGTGGAAACTAAGCATTAAAACTACTGCACTATCAACTGTACATTGAAAAAATGCATACTATGACATAGTTTTATGGGCAGTATTTTTCTTCAACATGTTATTAGGTAAAATCTTTCAATAAAATAACACCAAAGATTATTCTTTCAAATAATAATATTCAGATCTACTTCTAAGCTATATAATGAGTAGTAATAGAAGGTAAGCGTGCATCGGAAGGGACGTCACAGAAATGAGGTGCAGCCGTTTTGGATAACGTGACAACCGGAAGTGACACAGACATATATAAATGACGGCATATTTGATAATTCTCATTTTCTGTTGCAACCACAGTATTTTTTCATGTTTATTGCTTTAATACCAACAACCTCTTGAACCACGTACTTGGGATAATAGCAATTTTAATTAAATTTCCTTTAACATTTTCATTATGTAATATGCAATTACTTTAAGAAATATAATCCATAATTACTTTTAATAAATTCCATCATTTATTTTAATAACAACACTTTTTCTATGAATTTTAAAAATCTATGATTGGAAATCACAACCTATTACCATGTGAGACAAATGACAAACCGTTATGTCACCAAGACTTCTCCGAACAAAAGAGATTCTCGCGTTGAAGAGAAAAATCGAAATCGCCCTATATGCGGTCAGATCGTAAATTTAGAACCCCTTTTTTCACGGGGGCCTGAAAAGGAGGGGATAATCTTGCTCGTGGTCTTGAGAAAATGTGGGGGTCGTTTTTATACAGAGGAAAATACAAAATGAATTCTTCGAATGAATGCAATTCTGTACAATGAAAATGTATTATTGAACTATAAACTGTAAGACAAATAACATCTCTCTCTCTCTTTTTTTTTTTTTTTTTAAATAAGAGTAGAAAGACAGATATTTGTTACATCAATGAATTTGTAGTAAATATTGAATTTTCATTTTGAATGCTATGTTACATATATGCGAAGTAGCTGAGTATCTAAGAAAATAGTCTTAACCCAAATGGCCTTCAATCTTTTCACGTCTAAGGACTGTTTTTCAATTACATTGTGGTCGCTGCTTTTTGGTTAATTTTCTAATGACATATAAACATTAAATTGTTTTTAATTTGAGACTTACGAATAAAATAACGCAAACTAGACTGCAGAAAATTCTTTAGAATGAAGTTAATACTGAAAAATACATTTATCCTATTATCCAATTTTATCCTACAATAAATCCTTTTTTAAAAGACTTTTTAAGAAGTGTGGAATTAGCAGTGCACTAGGTGGAAATAAGGATGGCATTGTGTTTTAGGAAAGTGGCAAATCTAGTTATAGTGACAACCTGAGTGAAAAT